ACAGTGATCAGAGTTAGGTATTGGTGCACGTTTACGTGTTCCATATACTCCTTCGTCATTAGTAAAAACTAAATCGAGTGTTTTGTCAAGTCGAGTAGGAAATTTGACTATATTTGTATGACTAAGTGCTTCAAGGAAGGACCAATCTGACGAGTTGAAATCCCCGGTAATAACAGATAGAGAGTTTTGAAGTTGGCAGTGGCAAACATGGTGAATTCGTCAGCGAAATTAGATAGAACAGATAGTGAGCAGCTAGGAAAAATGTACATGTTTGTAACGAAGATATGTTTATATTTGGGACGTCATTTGAGAATGAGAAGCAGACATTATTTGAAATAGACCATTTGGAGTGAATAAAAGTTGCAACTCTACAACCATTTTACTTATTACAACATTGACGGTCTTGTCGAAATAAAATAAAGTCCTTTAGTGAGATAAGATTGTCGTCATACAGTTCATGTAACCACGTTTCTTGTAATGTGATTATGGCAGTATTATGATAAGTTTCGGTGGACATCAGAGATTGTAGGTACATTATCTTATTTGGCAGTTTGTGTTCATTATGACAGGGACCGTAGTTAAGTGTGTTGGTGTACGTTTGAGAGCTCTTTGCCAACCACTACGATGCTTCCTTCTTGATTTCTTGGGAATATGAAAGTCATTTGGTCGTAAATGATTAATAAAGTTACGTGTGTAAATGATCCTGTTAGAATTCATATTTAGGTGATAAATAAATGTGGGTAAACGGTAGATTGGATGCAATATGTAGATATTATAGTATTTTCTCGACATTCCCTCTACAGCCAAACATCGCCAGAGAACCTCTCGCTCGACAGAATCGAATGACGCCTTAAGGTCAAGAAATATAATGATTGTTGGACGCCGGTAGGAATGACTATGTTCTAGAATCTGTCGAAGTGTGAAGATATGATCAATACACCCTCTTCCTGGACTAAAGCCTGCCTGGCTCTCTCGTGTTTGTGCCTCCCGAGCACCACTTAGTCTACTCATGATTATTGAGCTTAGGACTTTAGATACTATATTAGTCAAGCTAATCCCTCTGTGATTATCACAGGAAGACTTGTCTCTCTTCTTCTATATTTTATTTTTATTTTTGATTTACAGCTTGATTCCATACCGTATTTTTGGTACAAGTATGGAATTTTCAGCATGGATATCGGTAGCCCAAATTTTGCAGGCCGACCATAGATATCAAGTGTGCGCCGGCGTGGGCTCGAACCCCGGACCATGTGGATGGTCGGCGAGAGTCCTAACCACTGTGCCACCGACGCACAGCATATCGAGATGATCAGTGAATTATACCAACCCGGTGGAACTTCCTCTGATTCCCAGACGCTGCTTAGAACCTCAATTAATGCAGACAGTAAACTGTATCCATCGTACTTAAATACCTCTGGAGTGATTCCATCAGGTCCCGCTGCTTTGCCTTGTTTCAGATTAGTGACAGCTTTAGTAACCTCAGTTGACGAAGGGGGACCTGTGTCTATATCCCATTCAAGGAGGTGTTGGATATTCGGCAGGTTGAGCGTGGCTGTGGGCCAATTGAACTGCTCCTCAGAAGTGTTCTTTCCAATCTTCGAGCCATCTATCTTGACAGCTAATGATAATGCCATTTCTCTCGGAGATTGTTTCACTTATCGCTTGCATTTTGCCACCTGTTTCCCTAATAAGTCTAAATAGTTGTCAGGTGTTACTTATCGCCGATATCTTTTACATCTCTTGCGCTCTTGTCGCCCACCACTGTTCACGGTCGTTGCGAAGACTTCTTGGAAGTTTACGTTTGAGCAGCTCTCGCTCCTCATCATATTCAGAACTCGCTGGAATCAGTCTTCTTGCGTCAATCAGTTCGGATGAGGCGGTAGAGATCCCCTGGCTCTCACTAACTTTTGGTTTTAGCTTATAATCAACAGCCTTTACAGTTGTGTATACAGCTAATTGTATGTTCCGCCAGCCAGACTTCCTCAGGAGGAGTCTTGCTGTCGACCACAGATACTGGTCTCACCATTTCTTCTTTGAATAGGGTCTCAGTGTCTTGATCTAGTCGGGGACGTAACTGCTTGACTGCCAACAATTTTCTACGTCCGTTTAGACGTAAGCATAAACGTTCGCGAGCCAGAGCGTGATCGGAGTCTACTCAAGTGTTGCAGAAGTAGCGGAAGTCGTCTGCCAACCTTCGCCAACGATGCCCTATCGCTATGTGGTCTACTTGAGTCCAGCGTTGATTCGGTGATGGAGGTCGCCGGGTTTCGCAGTGTCTCTCTTTGTCCCTAAAGTTAGTGCTGACTAGGAACAGATGATTATCTGAACAGAACGATAGAAGACGATCACCGTTTTCGGTTTGTCGGCAGGGAACTCAATACGTACCACCTATATGCTTCTCAGTCTGGCACAATTTCCATACTTGGGCATTGAAGTCGCCTGGCAGCAAATTAGACAGTTTCTAGTGGAAGTCATCCTTTAGTTCATTCGAACTGCAGTCTATCGGGGGCGTAAGCGAAGACTATGAACAGACAACGATGGGTAACGCGGTCCTTCCTTCTTCTGACGGACGCGTCCACACGCACCGCACAGACACAACCAACTACTGGGATCCAGTCAAGAAGTGATTTTCTGCCCTAACACTCAGTGCTATCCCTACACCTGCGAGTCCTCGCGAGCTATCTGAGGGGTCTCCTGGTCTCCTTAAAGTGAATTTTGTAGATTCACCTTGTTGAGCGAGTAGGTCAGCCCGAGATGCGAGAGTTCTTGCCAGTGACGCCTGTTGTCCGATTTGGCAGAGGGTCCTGATGTTTTTTGATGTGGTTATATCCTCTGAGCTGGAGAGCTAATATGGAAGGCTTTCATCGCCCTTCTAGGCGACATCTTCAGCGCATACTTCAATTTGAAGTCCTGAAGTTAAATGTTCCTATAATTTGAGTTGGTAGTATGGCTTCAGAAGGCTGTCTGGGGTGTTTTCTATGGCTCTCACTGTTGTTCGTGGTCACAGAGTAAAGTGGAGGTGTCTCACTACTAACCTGAAGACTAGTACTAACTGTAGTAGGGGAATAAGATGATGAAGGTGATGCGGATAGAGGAGAATGATGTTCAGGAAGGCTTCGTGTGCTTTTGGAAGTACAAGCTGATAAATATCAAAACTCAGGTAAACATTCCCGGCAGTAAAGAGCCTGGAGAGAATTAACAAACAGGCAGACAGAAGAATCTGTGAATCCTGAGTGACACACATCACTAAACACGACTGAATTATACATATATATGCATAATATAGCACTGTAACAGTTATATAATGAAATCTATTGGGAATTAGAAATATAACTTGGTGTTCTTATCCAAAAAAATACACAAATCAGTTTTCATATGAGAGTATATAAAATAAACAAAATTTTCCGATGAATAGTCTGCAGAACTGGGTCAGTTCTACTGAAGGATTTAAATGCATCATTATATTTTCACGCTAGTACACCTTATCTATCTCGAGTATATCCTTCTTCATATAATTTGGTATTTGGTTCGCCCATCTGGTGACACCCATGTAGCCTTGTGGATATCTTTGTGCTTGTATACACTGCCACCAATCACTAGTTCGTTGAAGGCGCAGAAGTCGGCGAAGAGTTCTCCGTTTTCATTCATTTCTCCGAGAGCTTCCCTACCCATGATGAGTTCCCTTTGTGTGATGTCTGGTCCCAGTTTGGCGTTCATGTCACCCATTAGTATTTTAATGTCACCAGCTGGAGTATTGTCCATTGTTGCCTGTAGTTGTCTGTAGAATTCTTCTTTCTTTTCGAAATCTGCGTTGTTTGTGGGTGCATAACATTGTGTAATTGACACTTTCCTTCCTTTTGAGTTGAATCTTGCGGTCATTATCCTGGGCGAGATCGCTTCCCATTGCATCAGCGCCTTTGTTGATATCACGATAGCCACGCCCTTGGTGTGCGTGTGGTTATCTTCTGGGTGACCGGAGTAGATCACTGACTCACCCGTTGACAATTTGGTGAGTCCATTCCCGTTCCATCTGCTTTCACATATTCCCAGCATTTAGATTCCGTATCTTTTCATCTCGTTTGCGATCTGGGAAGCTTTGCCAATCTCATACGTGATGTGGACGTCCCATGTCCCCACACAGACTTTTTCTTTTGGCGCGAAGCGATTCACTGAGCTGAAGTTTATGTAGCAACTTTGTTTACTGGATGGGATTGCTAGCATCACGCCTGAGAAAGGAATTGTTACATTAAGATAAAGTTTAGAGATAAGCGACCTTGTGGGTTGCTCCCCGAAGTGAAATATTTAAAAGCAATATTTAAAAGTCAAAAAATATGGAACGCTTCACGATTTTGCTTGTCACACTTGCGCAGGGGCCATGCTAATCTTCTCTGTATCGTTCCAATTTTAGTATATGTACCGCCGAAGCGAGTACATATATTGTAATGCACGCTGAAAATGCCATACCTGTACCACAAATACTGTTTGGAATAAAGCTGTTAACATTATTATTATTATTATGAGCAGTAATAAAATGTGCTCGAAACGTCATCAGTTAATATTACTGTACAACACTGTGTGATTTATCAAAACAAAATCTTATCCATAATGGAGTAATAACAAGTAACTCTGGCTGGTTGGGAACAAACCAACCAAGAGCCGACCGCTCAACAAATATTTAGGCGAAAATGGAAACGGCATGGGCACACACTGAGGAGACAGTTGAGTGACATCTCACGTCACGCCCTAGAGTGGAACCTAAATGGGGAGCGAGGAGTTTTTCGTAGGTGTCAGGTAGACATGTAGGAGATTTTGGGAGTTGGAGGAGAATGGAGAGTTTGGGCAATCATGGGTCCAGCTAAAGGGGACAGGAGAAAACGAAACATAGTGGACATGTGTTGTTGAAGCCCTATATTCCACTCGAATCCAATGGAATCATAACACATAACGATATATATATATATATATATATATATGAAGGCAAAAGGTTTTGTTTAAATCATCTATAACTCTAAACAATTTTTATTTACCAAGATGTTTGGGGGAAACTTTAAAAACATTTTCTTTTCATTACCTTCGTGCTTAGCTACATTTCCATTCATTATCATAATTTCTTCAGGTATGGACGATGATGCTGCTGAATTATTGCTATTACTGCCTTTGACACTTGTTAGCACTGAATCCACATTGCCTAAAATACGCCATTGTTCAAACTGATCATCACTATCGAGCTGCTGTTGTTGTATAGGTAGACTGTTGTTTGATGACGATAAATTGTTTGGCAGTGCATTTGCTAACTCTGGACTAGCACAAGATACAATAAGGCGCACAGTGAAGTCTTGACGAAAGTCATCACACTGCAAACATGTGTCCTGAGTGACATTGAACTCACCAAGAGTTTTATTCAATGTATCTAAAATAATTGAATAACAAAGAAGCATATATATATATAGTGTGTAATGAATAGATCTGAGGGTAGTCTTTATAACATTGCCCCCTCCTCTAAACTTGATACACCTGAGTGTTGCATAAAAGCATAGAAATCTCGTATTTCACAGTGGTTAGGACTCTTGCCGACCATGCAAATGGTTCGAGGTTCGATCCCCTGCCGACGAACACCTGATATCTATGGTCGGCATGCAAAATTTGAGCTACCGATATCCATGCTGAAAATTCCATACTTGTACCAAAAATACAGTGTAGAATCAAGCTGTAATCAAAATAGAGAGTAATACTAGGCTATAATCATCACAGTGTACTTCGTCTTAAAACGCTAGACAATGGAGGGTGGTTATTCCGTGTCCCTGAAAACAGTATAGCTGAATGGTATTTGACAGGCAGTGAAGCACTGATCATATCTTTCGATTCCTTACAATCCGAGTGAGACAAAGAGCTTCAAGCTTTGAATTTCTAATAGCAGTGGTGTTGTTTCTACGGGATGGATTTGCCAACCTCACAAGCCTAACCCTCGTTTTATTTTCGGAAAACTACTACACCAACAGTTAGGCGTGATTTAAGAGTCCGTCAGTTGGGAATCAAACCTGGACCTACTGTATGATTGGTAAGCATTCAACCGCTGAGACATTGAAGCACCAAGGCAGAAGCGCTGGCTATACACAAAGATACACCCTGAACTCCAAATACAGAAGCAATTTATCCGGTCCCCTCTTATTACAGTATCCTTTCTTTTCTTAATTCATACAGCAACTCAGCATGCAATCCATAGTCCTTCGTCTTAATTTTCCCTTCAAACTCCCAAATTTAAAATATGCTCCATACAATACATATTCTGAATCTCTAACCCTTTTGAGTGATGTTCTTGTTTCCAAGCGATTGTCATTTTTAATGGTAATCATTTCTGAGGGGTAACTACTGATCACTCATTGTATTTAGATTACGTATGAACAACTGACCTCATAGACAATTCCCTGACCTTTAACAACACTATATAAGCAAATGTACAGATTTGAAGTGAAGTTACGAAAAGAATATTTTCTGGTGACCTACGCGTTTTTCTGACCATCTAGTAATATTTACTTTTACTTAACCATAAGAATTGACAGCTATCAATTGTCTGTCTATCTGTCTGTTTTCGATATAGAACTTTGCACATATGTGCGCCAGTTCAAGTCGCCACACTCCATGCAACACACAGCTAGAGAAGAAAGTAAAAGAAATGATTATTAGAGACAGTAAACAGAGGTGTGAGACAAAGGAGTAGTAATAACGAAGAACAAAACAGTTTGATTGGAAATCATAAGTCACAAGAAGTGGATGCAATTGCGCCATTGAGAGTGGTTTTGAGCCATGTCAGCAATAGTTTTCAACCATTGGTTTTTACCGTCCCGAGGACTCCAGCCAGTCAGGAAGTCTACACATCCCGACGTGGCTGGCTCAAACTAACTGTGGGGGATTTCATTGACTGATGAGGCCATGTTTTGGTTTGGCCGCCGCTATCTGTTTTCCAACTTCTTTTTATGTCAGTCAGCTAACATTGCCCATTGTCGAGGAAGGCGATGACTAGACATACGTAACACATGTCCTAACCATCTCAGTCGATGTAATTTCACAGCCTCGTCGATTGATTTCCCCTTCCTCCTTACCTAGCACTCGACGTCTAACCTCAGTATTGCTCACTCTATTATACCATTTCACACGGGAGATGGAACGCAGACACATATGATCAAAGACAGCTAACCCGTCTTTTCATGTCTTCCACTCTCAGTGGCCAGGTCTCGTTCACAGCCATAAAGGAGGACGGAGCGGACTGATGAGCAGTACACCTGCCCTTTGGTCGGCAGCCAGTCGGATATCACGTCTACTAAGCCAGAGACGGCGTAAACTGGCATATGCAGCTATCAATTACACCGATCTACAGTATCCTTCACTAAATCTTAACACGGTCTTCATTAAGAATAAGATGGCTTGTTGACAGGTTTATGGTCATCTTCCTATAACTACAATTACTGTAATTCAGTTAGTTACAGTTCGGACTCAGTCATCTGAAAGAGAGATTTTCTATAATTCAGGTTAGTTATATGAGCCGTACCATCGTACGAGGACTAATGATATTACTGCTCAAGTGTCCAAGATGAATGAAGCCAGGGGAATGGGATTTGATCTCAAGAGTCAGTGGCTGAAAGCCAGTAAGTAATATCTCTAATGAGATGCATTTCAACCTGATAATAATAATTTTTCCTTCACGTTCCCCAGTGGAACACAGGGCTTCAAGCTAGTGGCCTGAAGTTTCTGTAGCAGTGTTTATTTTATTTATTTATTTAGACGCATAAAAACTTGGTACAATATGGCACCTAGAAGGATGCGCCACACAATAATAATAAAGCAACATAGATCAAAAGAAAAAAAGAAAGAAGAGAATATATATATATATAAATAGAGAACCATAAAGAACTTCTGGAAGGAAAACAGTCATGCTTAACAAGTTCAAACAGTATTCGTGAACTATCATCGGGAAGGGAAGAAAGAAGGAAACTGCAACTTGTGTAATAGCACGCTATAATTTTCATTGATTGTTTGAGGGCTGAGATATTGCCCGGGTGCCCAAACCGAAGCAGGTGATTTTATTAGGGGACCACCCCCCGAGCCTTTGACTTGGAGTCTAATCTGCAAGGCAGCGGAGCAGCGTCAGGAGCTGCATTCCCATGGTTTCTGGTGACCCATATGGGTTCATACGCCATTTGATCCGATTGGATACTGGAGCCCATGTACCCCATGGTAACTGCTTTTAGTTTCACCGCTATCCAACAACCTTCCTGACATGACACGACAGAGTCCCTGTCAGTTTAGCATGTTGGGTCGTTACGGTATTCAAGCCCGACCACCACGACAAGGTAGCAGTTATCGGCCGGGAGTGGGGTTGCTAGCCTCATGCCCAACCTTTCCTCTTTACCAGCATTATTTCTGGCTTAGCGAGGTAAAGAAGTGCGTCGGTCGGGGATCGAACCCCGGACCATGTGCATGGTCGGCGAGCGTCCTAACCGCTGTGCCACCGACGCATACATGCATTTCAACCTAAGAGAATTTATTGAATTAAATTTTCGAAATACCCTACGATTTATTGATATTAGATGGCTGGAGGCAATCGGCAGGAAGCCTCAGACCTAGGTTTCGTGCTAGTAGGCACTCGTCAGTCAACAAGGCGTATCTGCAATTTTGAAAGGACTCATGTTTCTCCTGAGATTCAAACTGGCGTCACCCATTGCAGCAGTCAGAGGCGTGATTGACCTCCTGTAGGATTGTATTGGATGCTTTAATTGGACATTAGTTAGTACGAAGTGAAATTTCTCAACACACTTTCCTTTGTAAACAATGTATATCGTCTGCTTGATACCACAAATGATATAATCGAGAGAGCAGGTAAAAGAGCACGGAGGCATGTAATACTGATAAAGATGAGTAGCTGGATAATATTCACATCAACTTGTACTGTTTACCAGCCAGTGGTCTAAACACTGGACAGCCGTTTTGTTCAAGTAGCAGCTGGCCGCCAACCAGAATTCATATGGTTTCAAGTTATTCGGCTCCGGATACACCGTCGATGGGTTCAGCTACAAACGAGTAAAAACCACCACCCAGTGCTTAGGTCACTTCTAGAGAACACTACTAGTTGATGTATGCGTAGTATCCAACTACTCATGTAGCATGGAAAAATCTATGTTAATTGCATTTAAACTGAGAGCATGACTCATCAATAAAAAATGTTTATAAAACAAAAACATAGTCATCAGAGGAATATACACGAACTATGTAGAACCTCGTATAATTACAACTTGATCTCATCTGAGATACTTAGAAGTCAGGAACATGCTAAGAGCTAGACGTGTCGTCAGAGGGCTGGTGATACTACCCAGTTGACCAGGCTGAAGTTAGTGGTGGAGTGGGACTCGAACCCATGACACAACGGCTGTAAACCAAGTGTTAAAGCCAATATGTGACATCTCATGAGTCAGAAAAAAAGAGCAAAAGAGTAAAAAAACAGAAAATTATTTACTGACGATTAACAACTACCTACCTTCGTCTGTTTCACCCTCTTCACTTGATATCAAAATAACACCACGATCAGACAGTTCTACATCTGGCGCTAACATGCCTAAATGTCGGATTAGAATACGATCACGTAGAATACGCAGGGTGAGCATTTCTGGTGCACAGACTAAGCGTAGCTGGGAATTTTTGATTGTATCACTACACACCAGACAAGAGGGATTTGGTGGTGCAGGTTTCACTGGGACAACAAGGCGACGATTACCACGACGACCAGTTGGTTGACGATGGAGGTAGACGGTGCGTACACGCTAGAAAAGAAAAGGATATTAGAGGGAAAACATTGTTAACTACATATGATCAGCTCACAAATAAAAACTTCAAAAATAAAACGCTTTATTATATCTCCCAGGTTTAAGTCACTTGTGATTAATGCAAAGTTGAGAGGATGTCTAAGAATTTCCTGGAGAATAGTACTGGAAGCATGAAGAAATCAAACGACGATCTATTCTCTTAAGTCAAAACTACACATGTGAAACGCAATCTGTGGCCTTTGTCCAGTATGTATCTAGATTATATTACCAGTCATGTTACCTACCTGGTATGGTAGGACTTGTAGGGACATCAGTTTCAGCCAGTGTAGCTTATCGCATCATTGAGATATGGAAGCCCGACTACCACGTCAAGGTAGCAGCCATCGCACCCATATGAGGATTTGTGATATAATATGATCCGAGTCTAAAAACGCTGTAATTAGCTTCCAAAAACAGACAGACAATTAGCTAAATAAACAATAACTTTCAATCATTAAGAGACTTGAGAAATCAGTCTTTTGTGATACTTAATATAGTATTTTCAGATATTTTAAGGGGATCTTTTACAACCCAAGGTGAGAATTCACCAGTTTAACTCTGTTGTATGTACCATTTAGGCATAAATTAGTGACTCAAATCATTATTATCTAAAAAGTCGTGGATAATGCTAAGGAGTTTGAAACAATTCTCAGAGAGAACACTGTTTCCCGCATGGATGCAGGTATATCCATCCAACTAGTTCAAAATAAGACATCCCGGATTCTACTACTGGTCACCCTATCAGCCGACTACTAACCAGTTGTTACTCCTGACATAAATACCCATCAGTTGTACATCTAAATCGACATGTCTAAACAGAAAAAATTCGAAGCTCTGAAAACCTTGTTATCAATCACTGGAAAATGGGAAGGTACATACAAACATACACAGATCAATAAAATAAAAGATAACAAAACAACTTACCTCGTAATGTTTAGATAAAATATGTCTGGCTTGAAGTACCATTAGCCCAGCGACTATTGCATTTGTAGACGCCACCGCAGGAATGATATTCCCGGCTAAAGATTTGATTGTAAATCGAGTGAGTTGATCAGCACCAGGTAAGTGGAACACTTGTGAACGAATGACAGCAGCGGATGCCACAAAATCCATAGCCTCTTGATCATCCTGAAATAAAACAATATGTATGAAAACTAAGCCTGTTTCAAAATTCTCTCGGATGTGTGGGAATCTGAAAATAAATAGTGATTGGGATGTGAAAACGTCACAATCAATATTGTAGTACACCAGTTTACATGCATGTTTGTAGATGCATATACATAGGGAGGAATAACTGCGATCTGCAGGCCAGGATCGAGGGAACATATACCTAAATGGTTTGGAAAAAAACTCAAACCATAAACTTCGACAGTTGCAGGTTGTAGACTACCGGTCTCATCCATAGTAAATGTTAATGTTATAGATGCATACTGCAATACGTTGAGATGATAGTCATTTTGTAAAACTGAATCCACCCACATAAACGACGTGATACGGCCAAGGGTCGGTAGATTTCGGTCCTTCTCTCGAAATGCTCACATGTCGCCACGCGTTCGTAGGCATTGCCGGGTAAGTTCTATGCACTGCCTTTAAAGCGGAGAGGGTGTTTCTCATAAAGGTAAAACGCGTCACTCATAATCGGACTGGTGGATGTACTATTCTACCTATAGGATCCGAAAAATCCTGAATCCAAATCTATAATGTAGATATGCTCTAAAATCCGAAAGGATCGAATGGCGTATCAACCTGTCTTGGTCACTGAATACCATGGCAAAGCAGCCCCTAACGCTGCTTCACTACCTCGTGGGTCAGATGTCAAGTTAAAGTCTGGAAGTGGGATGGACCCTTGAGATAACCACCCGCCCCGGTTTGTGCGTTCCAGCGGTACCCCAGACCTCTCACAAACCATTAGGTTTTGTGTAGTGCATCACTTGAAGCCCATAATGTACGGAATTTGTCTCAGTAATAATAGCGATGGATATCATCATTCGTTTAGAGATTAATTTGCATTTCCTGCCAACTAACTTTGCTTGATTGTCACTCACCGGTAAGTTCATAAATCCTATTTAGGACGACATGCGCATCCTGGATTCCAGCGATAGTCACAAAACCAGAAAAAACAGATATCATCATGTTGTACAACCTTGTATTAATGAAAGTACGCCAAATGTTAACTCGGTCAACTCAACTAACGTGTTGAGTCATTATGATTAGAAGGCACTGACAATCAGAAAACGTAACTGTTAACCACAGTTTTATTGCAGTTATCCCGCGTAAGTGGTCGGCTGTCAAGTAGATGGACAACTAGTGTGGTGTTCTCAAACGGACAGTAACGTACTATTCATTTATTCACCTAACAACAACACAGTTGGGTATTGTACGTGATAACTGCAGTGAAATAACTACCTGATTAACATTCGGTTCGCAACACATAGCTCACAGGTCACGGTTTGGGATTCTGCTGCAAACCAGATTTTTATTTCAGCCTTAATCATCACTCGGCTACAATAATAGTTGAATTAACACTTCAGTCTTCTAGGATTGAGATCAGAAGAAGATGAATCATTAGTGGTTATTAATGGGGATTGTGAGAAAAACGTGAATCCACATCAATCCTGAGAAAAAAAACAACATGCAGCAATTTTAGAATGCTTTCCAACAACGCAGGTTTACAGGGAAACTAAACTATGACATGCCACTGCAAACTTTCGTCAACATCTGACTTCGCTCGATACCAAAGATCAGATGGCCAACCAAAAACAAAATTCTGGCAAGTGCAGTGAAACATGCGGAAGAAAATCGCTGTAGATTGAATCGTTGAATAGCATCATATCCGAGGAAAGCACCTTGAGTGAAACTTGAATGAGAATTTGATGAGATTCGCATGAATTAAAAAGAAATGAGAGGAAAGAAATGAGGAATCGTTGAGCCAGAAGCTAGAGTAGAATTTAGAGAACAGAGTGAAATGGTGATGTGCTGCTGCAAAAGCACAATGTTCCATTAGGAACCCATGCGAATAACAACAATAATTATATAAAATCTGATAAGCTTAAAAAAAATTGGCTAAAAAACGGGATGCCGTTATAAAAACGAGTTAATTCTGATAACCAAAAACCTTTTTTTTACCTTATCCCATACTAAAAACTTGTCTCCACCGCCATCTTCTACTCGTTTTTGTAATTTCTCAACCGAATTCAAGAAGATGTCAAGCCAACCAGATATGGACAATTTACGTTGATCTCGTAGTTCATAAAAATTCGATGAGTCATGTGATGAACATGACGATTCTTGTAGAAGACAAGGAGAAGGAGGAGATCCTTTTAAGAAATAAACTAGTAAACAAGAAATCACATGATTTGAATATATATATATACGTCGGTGGCACAGTAGTGGTTGGGACTCTCGCCAATCATGCACATAGTCCAGGGTTCGATTCCCTGACGACGCACACCTGATATCAATGGTTGGACTGCAAATTTAGGCTACTGATATCACGTGCTGAAAATTTCATACTTGTACCAAAAATACGGTGTGGAATCAAGCTATAATCAAAATTAAAATTAATTTGACAAGGTACCCCATATAAAGAGGTTGAACAGGATTTATCAATAACTATTCAATCTATAGCTGTATCACTCCCAGGAACCCCAACAAACAGTTTATGCAAAGAACTGTACAGAAAATTGAAACACTTAACGGAATCCTGCGATCACTCCATCAAATCCGCAACCGAATTTGTGAAGAAAATCAAAGGCATTCAAATAGACGACTAAGAAATAATAGTATCCTTCGATATCAGCGCATTATATACTTCGATTAGATAGAAACTAGCAAAATAAACCATGGGGCAGTTACTTTACAACGACGAACGCCTCTCACAACACTCAAAAATGCAACAAAAAAGTTGGATGGAATGCATAAACCTATGTCTAACAACCTGTTTTTAATTCAACGGCCAAATATATGAATAAATTAATGGAACATCCATATTAGGTCTGATTGCAAAAGCCATGATGCAAAGACTTGAAAAAATAATTCTACCGAAGATCAAACCAAAACTTTGGATACGTTACGTGGGTAACACATTTCGATAACTAAAAGCAACGACTACGACAACTTAATATGCGACATCTTCAACGACACCACATTCACAAGAGTAGAGGTGACCAAGGACAAAATTCCAGTTTTGGACGTCTTATCCAAGCGAAAAAGTACAGGAAAATTAAAAAAAATCAAGTTTAAAGGAATGCGACCCAGACACAATAAGATTTGCATATGAACATTGTCCAAGAGAACCAGGACCAATTGCACCACTCCTACCTAGGCGTCGAGTGCTAGGTTAGGAGGAAGAGGAAATCAATCGACGAGGCTGTGAAATTACATCGACTGAGATGGTTGGGACATGGGGTTATGTATGTCTAGTCATAACCCTCCTCGACAACGGGCAATGTTAGCTCACATAGGCTACTTCAGATACTATTTCTTCCTTAAATGGGGACTCAGAGTCTCGATCTAGCTGGGGACGTAACTGAATTGCTGCCGACAATTTCTTATGTCCGTTTAGTCGTAAGCATAAAGGTTCGCGAGCCAGAGCGTGATCGAAGTCTACTCAGGTGTTGCAGAAGGAGCGGAAGTCGTCTGCCAACCTCGGCAACAATACCCAATGGCTATGTGGTCTGCTTGAGTCCAGCGTTGATTCGGTGATGGAGGTCGTTGGGTTTCGCAGTGTCTCTCTTTGTCCCTAAAGTTAGTGCTGACTAGGAACAGATGATTATCTGAACAGAACGATAGAAGACGATCACCGTTTTCGGTTTGTCGGCAGGGAGCTCAATACGTACCACCTATATGCTTCTCAGTCTGGCACAATTTCCATACTTGGGCATTGAAGTCGCCTGGCAAAAAAACTATATCTGAACGTTTTGCTTTTTGCGGCAAATTAGACAGCTTCTAGTGGAAATCATCCTTTAGTTCATCCGAACTGCAGTCTATCGGGGGCGTAAGCGAAGACCATGAAAAGACAACGATGGGTAACGCGGTCCTTCCTTCTTCTGACGGACGCGTCCACACGCACCGCACAGACACAACCAACTACTGAGATCCAGTCAAGAAGTGACTTTTCTGCCCTAACACTCAGTGCTATCCCTACACCTGCGACTCCTCACAAACTAGCTGAAAAATGTCCTGACATCCGAAAAGTGAACTTTTCAGATTCAGTCTGTGGGACAAGTGAACAACCACACCCGGGACTAGTATAGTTGTCTTCGAAACAAAACATGCATACATGACTCGACATGCCAGAGCTCTGACTAGAGATGCCTGTTGTAAAATTTAGCAACGATTCCTGACGTTAAATGCTCCAATATGAAGTTCATACAGTAAGACACGTGATGAATTACATCTACCGTAATAACATTGATTTAAAGCAAAGTGTCTACGCTTCATAGCCACAGAAGACACCAAATCACTAGCTATTCACCTAATAGCGTCGTCAAAGGTTTCCCAATTGTTTACTGTTAATTTCTACACTAGCAGGTTTTACTAATGTTAGGGGAACACAATCGCCGCATCACAACAGAAGAAAAACAGACTGATTAGAAGTGTTTATCATACAAAAGTTAGATTTTAGTTGTACAGATAATTCTGATGACTAATCCTTTGTTATTTGTCAGTACGTTTTATCTGCACACACAACACACATATATATTTCTCCAAAGCGGTCCGAAAAGTTTCAAGAAAAGCACCATTAAGTTGGGTAGCACATGTATGATCTGAATAAATAATTTTTAAAGTTATTCAGATGATTGCTCGACCACAAGTAAACTTTTTACAAACAACACATTTACAGATAGCTAAACAGTTTTAATTAAACTTTAGGGGCTTCACAGTCTACCCAGCTGGTCGACATCTAACAAATCCATGGAAGCATCGTGAAATGATAACATTATTCAGTAATAAGTTATGCAGTAATTCACAAAGCTTGAATAGTTATGTTCACACTAATAATAACGGCTTCATGACAAGTAATAACAATAGTAATAATAATAGGTATTATTATTATCACAACGAATTCATTATAACCTTGGATAGACGGCTACTAGTAATACAATCATATCAATAAAATTTACTAATTAATTTTATGAAGCAAGTGTTTACTGATCTGGTAGACTAATTGATTCTACCTGAACTCAAGATTAGTTATGAAAGAGAATGGAGACCTGGTCTATTCCAACTAAAAACATGAAACCTACATGTATTACACTACTCACTGTGATCTTTGATACCGGCCTTCCGATTTTCGAAAAAACAACAGACTATACATAGATACTTATATGCTGCATCAAATATATTGTTCTCATCACGATTAACCTAACTGTTGAATATTTAATACTGATATAAGATTCGCTGGAAATAATAATCAAGAGATAATTGAAGTTGCATAAAGTTATCACCTCTACAAAACGTTGGATGAGTTTTGACACTCTTGCCATCTCCTTAGACTTTGGTGCCAAAAGAATTCACTGAATTCAGTAAATATATTCACTGTGCTGTAATACAGTATGTATTGTCAGTTATGTAACTGACCGAATAAATAAAGTGTTCCTGGGAAATGGGATCTTCACCGAACACTCAAATAATGCTTGAAATTACCGCAACGCTAATGAGAAACCGACCGGACACAAGCAGCACTGTCACTTGTTTATCTCACTGGTGAATAGACGAAATAACGTCCATCGATAAGCACGGGTAGAATGATAGATTTGTTGGTAGAACAAAGACTTACGAAATAATAATGGCGTATGGATTTCTCTTTGCCTGTTATTGTAATATGATGAATCAGATACTATTTGGATGCATTTGTGGCATTAAAAGTGCACTGAGACGTATAAAAATGTTCACCAGGTGAATATAATTCAACCACAGTTTCTGGAAATTTATTCTAAATCAAAGAATAGGATATATGCACTTTTTTAACTGTTATATTTTTGGAAGTGGTCAATTCAGTTGTGACCTAAGTTACTTGTAATTACTTACCGAATATATATAAGAACGCAAGTATGTACTATTGTTCATTTGCTTAAAATCATTGTGTTATGTTCACTAAGCATTGCCAACACCATTACATCATGATGTTACAAAATACTCCTACTGCCTCTACTCATCTATGTTGTCCGATGTAACGGGTACATTCCAAAGAATACTGCTTTCTTGTATATTATATTCGTGGATGCAATCTGAGCAAGCTTTTGATGAATTTATGAAGGTTATAACTAACTTAGCCATTATTTCATTGGACGTAATCAAACACATCCTACCAGATTGCTTCGAGTAGTAAAGAGGACACATCCGGCCCTATGACAAACGAGTACGTGAGGTATGAGTACACATTTGAATGTCATCATGCCGCTGGAGGTGCTGCCTCGATGAACAAAGGGTAAGTTGGCCGTGCATGTAGATTTTAAACTATTTTAGGACCAAAAGTATTTCGCGTGAGTCGAGATTTATATCACGGCATACAAAATATCAAATTGTGCATAACCAACCATGCACGGAAAGTTTCATGTCTACCGATGTAACCAGGTATAGGCCATCATCAAAGGAAATGAAAGTTGTGCGACCGTTTATCGAAAGAACATTGACGTTCAAGATATAATGGATTTAGTAAATGAGAGATTCGGTAAAGTTATCCTATATGATGATATTAAAAATAGGCGGGCTAGGATAAATAAACGCAAGTCGTATCAAAATAAATGTAGCAGTAGAATA